CTTTGTTTTATTATTGTAATTTCCGGGGGGGACCTTCCCCTAAAGTGTTATTAGGGGACAAGACCCGATGTTACTTGGTTGAATGTTCTTCAATTACCACATAAAGGAAGCCGTTGTGTTACATTGTGACTTTGAAAAAAGTTTCGGTCTAATAAGGTTTCTATCAGCATATTCGTCATCACCGGCGACTACATTCTAATACATATCCTTTTCAGACATCTATATCACATTGTATATTCGACACATCACATGCTTGTGTAATATTTTTAAAATTTATATAAGATATATACAATTTAGGATTTAAATTCAAAATCTCTTCTAACATACAATGAGAATTATGACTAGATCAGCATATATGCTATGAGTATATATTAGAAGAAAACTACCAATAGATGAATACATGCACAACACAATGACTTCTTGTTAAATTCTTAACAATTTTCAGGAGGAGGCTACGGCCTACAGCTGATTACAGTCACTGTCCCGTTTGGCGTGTGTGTTGTGGCAAATATGGAAAGAAAGAGCCTTCATCATGCTGCCAAATCAAAGGAGACTTGCCAAACTTTTAACAAACTTTGTCTCTCAACTCAACACGTGTTATGTTCTTAGCATATGAGAACATTTGACCAGAAAAACAAAGGGGTGAGCAAGGACGAGCCCAAACATGCAATTTCAAGACAGAGCCCAAAGGATTGCAAGGCTTACCAAAAAGAAGCTCAACAAAAGAGTATAAGCCCAGAGCCGACTCCAACGAAACCGACTAAAAATGATTCCGACAATGTTCAACAAAAAAACTTAAAATGTTTCTGAGTTAAAACATTCTTTTTTTCTGGAGACGCAAATTTTTCTTGAGGAAGCACTTTCAAGTGCCTTTCTATGGAGCATTTGGATTTTAAATAAAAATTTATGCGTTTTCAATAAAAGCGCTTATGAAGTGCTTAATCTTTTTTATAATCATCTGGGTTATTCTTTCAACCCTTTCTTTTTCAGCTACGCTTGGTAGTTTTGACAAAGGAAGAACTGAATCCTTTTGCTTTCTTGCGTTGGGGATTTATGGGATGACTGGATTTACCAAATGTCATCAATGGAGTACGACTTATGTTTTACTTTTGTGGATTGAGGATGGGCCTTCTTGGCTTTCCCCTACTCTTGGCAATGATGTATCAGATTCAGTTCCAAGCTATCAAAAAAGAAAACCCTATCATCTTGATCACTGGCTACACCTACATTCATAGTAGTAGTACTATAACCACCAACTTCATACAGTGGTACCAACTCTATTTTCTAATACTATCTTCTACATTTTATCAGGAAGATATTCAATATTCAAAATTTTCCGATTCTTAAAAAAAAATAAAAAAAATAAAAGCTATAGTAATTTTATTGATAACACAAAAAAAAGTACAGAATATGCACAATGCCAAATATGAGTACAACATCTCCAGTGACTGAATACAAAAATAAATTGGTTTGATCTGGAGAGAATTATGCATGCCAGAAAAACCTAAAAACTCCAATTCGGCAGACAAGAAGTCTCTGTATTCAGAACTACAAAAAATTTTCCAATTCTAAATTAATTATAAGAGAAGAAACAGAGCAAAGTTTGGCTCCTTAAAATTAAGGAGGAGCTCCTCCTTAAAACCAATGAGGTTTTGACACTTGTTAATGTTGCTATCCCCTGATTTTAAATCAATTATAAGAAAAGAAAAAGTATATATACTAGTTAATCATTAGTGCCTAACTTGTTTGATCAATGTGTTGATGTACACATTGATTTAACTTAGAAATGATTTACATGCAAGTCTGGGCTAGGAAAGTGATCCACCAAACCAAAGGGAGGCTGGAACGAAAAAACTGGAGGCCTGATTAATTTCCCCCTAAAAACTGTCGGTTTGCTTGACCTCTCTCCTCTTCACTATTCCCAGCACTAGCACTTCTTGAAGGACGTCCAATCCAAGGTCCTCAATAATATAGTAACCTACCTCATTAATAAACCATCCTTGAATGCATGACAGGCAATTATTGGACCAAGTTGTTCATGTGGTACTAGTTTTACAACTGGATTTTACAACAAAATTTAATATTGGTTCGGTTTAGCTGCATGATGCTGTCCACGATGATGGTTTCATCCTAGGAAGTTGAAATCATCACAAATTAATATTGGTTTGGTTTAATTTGCTTGAATTAAAGTGAGACCAGCTGTGCTAAATAAACATCAATTAATGGATTGGGGATCTGACACATCCATTGCCGGAAAAAGTCTATCTGATGCATAAGTTAGTTGAATGTTTAGAAGTAAAGTATACGAGAAAATTGTGATATTTGGCGATAATACCTTAACGCTTAGGTTTTACCTTAGCCCGGTCCATATATAGGATATTTTACCTCAACAACACATATACACAAGTAGGACATGAACATTTCCTTCTCAAATGTTATCCATTTGTATTATAGATCAAGACTCCCTCGTCACCAAGAATCAAAGACGTGTGCTACCCCAGATCACCTGCTTCATAAAATTACTCTGCAATCAGTTATTAGAACAGCTGGAAGTTTCAAAACGATAGTCATATGGTCATTAATTGTTATTAGGGCTTGTCCAATATAGGTCCCTACATTTTCTATTTCCTAGACATATACCCATCATTCTATAAATCTATATGTAAAACCCAATTTCAAATTTAAATGACCAGTAGGATATAAGAGGTCATAGTATTCCTACGTTTTTACATCATTGCCGCTAAACTTCATATTTTATTTATAATTTATTTCAAGCATTTTATTAACTACTATAATTGTAATTAATACTCCCTATTAATATCATATCAATCACCCCATTTCTTTTGGTTACTATTCTCTCTAACATATTGCCCATTGCAAACCAAAAATATATATATGTAAATTACATATCCAATAATGTACCTATGAAAAATATAAATATAAATATATACGTATAAAAATATAGGTATATTATTTACCAAAAAAATTTACAGAAAAATAAGTACATGATAATTTATAGAAAATATAGATATACAATAATTTATTGAAAATAATAGGTAGATTATTACAGAAAAATAGGTACGTAATAATTTATAGAAAACATAGATACACAATAATTTGTAATAAAAAAATAATAGGTAGATTATTATCCATAAAAAAACTAAATTATAGAAAAATAGGTGCACAATAATTTATATATATATATAAAAAAAAAGAAGATAGATTATTATCCATGAAAAAAGTAGGTACAATAAATGAAATCCAAGTTCAAAAATAGGTAATTATTATTCGGGAAAGATGGAACAAAATTTCAAAAAGGCAATAAGGAAAACAGACTTTTTTGGCCAACAAATTGTTGACTATATTAATGAATTTTAATAATAAAACGGCTAATTAATTGCAGACAAAATTTTAGAGGGAATCACCACAATAAATTGGGGAACCAAAAATTAAAACATCACCCCATTACACATTGAAAAATAAATAGGGGTATTTTGGCAATCAAAAATTATAATAAATAAGAATTGAGTTTAATAAGATAACTTGATGAGTTGGATCCTAGTCATAGGTTTTTACTTATAAAAATTAGGTATTATTTATAGGAACAAAAAGTGAAGAGTTACAGGTAATGTAAGTTGAATTTAAAGGGTGTAAGCCAAATTTACTATTGTTATTAAGATGAGAAGAATATCTCAACAAGCAACATGACATTCATATTTTTGAAGCGTGCCCACCTCACTTCACACCGTCGACAGAGAAGATATAACGAGTCATCAGAATAGTTTCGAAGGGACCAAAACACATTAATTCACGATCCAGCTTCTTTTTTTCAGCTTTCTTTCATGAGGCGAGATCTTTTATATATATATATGAGAAAAGAGTTAGATTGTATGACATTTTTCAATGCATACTTTGTTTGATGAGAATTTAAATGCGAGCAAGACAGGAAGAGCAAGTTTTCAACAGGCAATAAATTCTTCATCTACATAGCACATGGCACAGTTAGCAAAGAACCATTGAGACAACTATAGTTAGTTGGATCTCCAAAATAACAATTTTTTTTTCTTCGTTTAATTTCTACAGAAATGCATTTTTATGTACATCTTAAAATTATAGCTAAAGATCCAAAATCTTGAAAGGTTTCTTTTCTGGTAAGTCATTGACGAAGCATAAATGAACATAATATAAATCGCTTCATCATCAAATCGAATAAATAGATGAACATAATATTTAAACCTAGTTACTGTCATTGACAGAGCATATTTTCATTAAGTCTTCATCACTATGCCTGAAACTAAAAACTATATGCACCAAATTAATGTTTGCAATGTAGTGTAGATAATAGAAAATCACTCATCTTATTGTTCTCATTACGTGATATAACCCAAATTTTTTAAATTGATCTGAGGCAGATGAAAGTACTGTAGCATACATTCTACTATGGGATATACGCTCCTGGAGCCGTTTCGAGTGACCTTGATTTGCGTTGAATGGTTCATACAAAATGTTCTCATATATCACCTTGGTGGTCCTTGCAGTAGCAAAAACCTGCTGTAACTGGTAAATCTCCCCAGTGAATGTCCAATTTTTGATCTTTTTGTTATGTCCAAACCAATCTTGCTAATTAGCCGAAAGTAACATAGTCATGAAATCAATATCTTCTTCCAGTTTGTAATGTGACAGGACGGAAGAACTTCCTGTCAAGCACACATAAGTAGCCATGTGGGCGCAAGTGGGTGCATTTAGATCTGCCCTAGCGACTATTTTCCTGCTTAGGGTTTTCGTCAGCTGAAACCACAGGTATAAGTTACAACCGTACCCGAGCTGATAATTGTGGGGTGCATTTGTAATTAAATGTAGCGACCAGTTAGTTGTTGCGACCGATTTAATGCAAAAGCAAAATGGACATATGCATGCTCCAGAATCCAGTATAAAAAACCCTCTATCATCTCTTGTAGCTCTCAGAATTTAGCTCAGCCTTGTAAAAGAATATTTTGAACATGGGAAGCGCTGGGAGGCTTGCTTTGTTTTCTTTGTTTTGCATTCAAATCCTTGCAGTGAGTGTGCTTGCAAGGAATGTAGTGAGTGTGGAGCATGATGAGGAGGAAAAGAACTTAGCTGTTGGGCTGGGAGGGGGATTTGGTGGAGGAGGTGGGTTTGGCGGAGGAGGTGGGTTTGGCGGTGGAGGTGGAGGTGGTGGTTTTGGAGGCGGCGCTGGTGGAGGTGCTGGCGGTGGGTTTGGTGCTGGTGCTGGTGGCGGAGCTGGAGGTGGCGGCGGCTTTGGAGGTGGCAGTGGTGGAGGTGGAGGATTAGGTGGGGGGCATGGGATTGGTGGTGGTGCTGGTGGTGGATTTGGTAAAGGTGGTGGTGTTGGCGGTGGGATTGGTAAAGGTGGCGGAGTGGGGGGTGGTGCTGGGGGGTGGTTTTGGCAAGGGTGGTGGCATTGGGGGTGGAATTGGAAAGGGTGGTGGAGTTGGAGGAGGAGCTGGTGGTGGATTTGGTAAAGGTGGTGGTGTTGGCGGTGGGATTGGTAAAGGTGGCGGAGTAGGCGGTGGTGCTGGGGGTGGTTTTGGCAAGGGTGGTGGCATTGGGGGTGGAATTGGAAAGGGTGGTGGAGTTGGAGGAGGAGCTGGTGGTGGTGTTGGTGGTGGGATTGGTAAAGGTGGCGGAGTAGGCGGTGGTGCTGGGGGTGGAGTTGGAGGAGGAGCTGGTGGTGGAGTTGGAGGAGGAGCTGGTGGTGGTGTTGGTGGTGGGATTGGTAAAGGTGGCGGAGTAGGCGGTGGTGCTGGGGGTGGAGTTGGAGGAGGAGCTGGTGGTGGAGTTGGAGGAGGAGCTGGTGGTGGTGTTGGTGGTGGGATTGGTAAAGGTGGCGGAGTAGGCGGTGGTGCTGGGGGTGGAATTGGAGGAGGAACTGGTGGTGGAGTTGGAGGAGGAGCTGGTGGTGGATTTGAAAAAGGTGGTGGTGTTGGTGGAGGAATAGGAAAAGGTGGCGGTGTCGGTGGGGGAGCTGGTGGTGGCTTCGGAAAAGGTGGTGGAGTAGGTGGTGGGATTGGCAAAGGTGGTGGTATTGGTGGAGGTGGAGGCATTGGGAAGGGTGGTGGAATTGGTGGTGGGGGTGGTTTTGGGAAAGGTGGTGGCATTGGAGGTGGAATCGGTAAAGGAGGGGGATTTGGTGGCGGCTCTGGTGGTGGGATTGGTGGTGGATTTGGCAAAGGTGGTGGTGTTGGAGGAGGAATAGGAGGAGATTCCGGTGGTGGGTTCGGAGGCGGTGGTGGATTTGGTGGAGGTGCAGGTGGAGGTGGTGGTGGCGGCTTCGGTGGAGGTATTGGGCACCACTGAACTTCGCGTTCTGTGTGTTACATGTGCATGTGTATGAAGGATGAACAGTGATTGAGTGATATTGTACTATTTCTTTTACTGCTGCCTTTCATTTATTTTGTTAAACAATTAATATTTAGAAGTAATTCTATCTGGGGTGATCGATGATGACTCAAGTCTAGTCTGCTTCTCGTACCATGCTGGGGGTAGGGGGCAACAACATATTAGTGTACTTTTTTGTTTTTACTGAAATTAAAAGAGTATCATTGGATTTAACTTTTGGCGCAGGATTAACTAGCTAATTAATTGATTAATTAACAGTGAATGATCTATGTCGAAACTAATTAACTGTGTTCATATTAATTTTGAATGTTTATTAAGGGAGAAAGAAAAAACTAGAGTCACCTTTGCATTCGCATTTGTCTGCAGCACTTATTGGTCAGCCAAACCTGCACACAGTAGAATTTAAGATGCCACCAACCAATTGGAATTTGGTCCCTTATATGCATGCCACCAAATCAATTGAAATTTGGTCCAAGTTTCCTTGATGCTGAGAGAAAAATTAAATAGCGAGAGAGTTTCTCACACTGCTAAAGTATTATGGGTTTCAAGTATGAGACCATTGTCTGTAAATTAAGACCTTTTTCATTAAGCTATACCCCATTAACGGATAACAACAAAAGTTAGTCCTTTATGATGTTGATAATGTGAGATGCATTTATAAATAAATTAGAAAATTAGATTAAAACTCAAAAGTATTAGACTTTGTTAGGAATAAATAAACCACGTTATTTTTATTTTCAATATAATCTCATTAACTATATATCTACGTCATCAAACTTACCATAGTGAGTGAACCAATATTTATTGGTCGCATTATTTAATTTTCTGAGCGTGTGCGCCTAATTTACCCTCCTACAACATTTGGTTTTTTTTTTGGTCAACCCGTGCTTGTCTGAATTAATAATATTTATAATAGGTGCCGTGAGAAGAATTGTGAACATTATTAGCTAGTAATTTTGTTGCCAGTGTTAGACGGATTGTAATTAATGAGTTTGCCAAAGAGGTAGGAAGATAATTAAGAGATTGACGTTAGCATGTATAGGTACAACTTTACCAGCTCCATATAAGCTAAAATTGTGAATCTATGGGAAGCGCTAGGAGGCTTGCTTTGTTTTATTTGTTTTGCATTCAAATCCTTGGCAAAGGAGGCGGTGGTTTCGGCAAGGGTGCTGGCATTGGGGCTGGAGTCAGAGGAGGAGCTGCGGGTGTAGGTGCAGGAATTGGAAAAGGTGGGGGAGCTGTCGGGGGCTTTGGAAAAGGAGGAGGAGGCATTGGCAAGGGAGCTGGTGTTGGAGGTGGAGCTGGTGTTGGGTTCGAAAAAGGCGGTAGTGCTGATGCTGGTGGAAAAGGCGGCGGAGGGGGCTTTGGAAAAGGTGTTGTAGGCGGAGGAGCTGGTGGTGGATTTGGACATATGGGTTCAAGAAATGGAAGTGGTGCTGGCGGTGGCTTCGGAAAGGGTGGTGGAGTTGGTGGCGGTCCTGATAATGTACTATTTCTGGTACTACCGCCTTTCATTAATTTTGTGTTAAACAATTAATATTTAGAAGTAATCTTATTTCTTTTTTCTTTTTTGGTGAAGCAATCTTATATATCAGTGTACATTATTATTTCTGAATTTGAAGGAGTGTTATTTTGTTCAATTTATCCTGTGGCTGGACAAACTTTTAGCGCAGGATTATAGTGGATCATCTTTGGACAAGGTAAAAGGTTTGAAAGGTTGAATATATATTACTCGGCTGTGTTTGCGGCGCCTGTTTTTACCTTCTCCTCCAGTTTTTTTTTTGTGTTTTTTTTTTTCATAGGTTGGTGAGCATTGAGCTGATTTGTGATGGTACTATTTTGTTGTTTCGGTTGCTTACTTCTGTTTGTGTTCCGATGCTTTTTCTGGCCTTTTAATGAAAATCTCACTTGATAAATAATAAAAAATTAAATCGTTTTGAGTTTTTTTAGAGCATCCACAATGGTTGTTCAATAGTTCAATGAAATAATTCAATAAATTGAACTATTTTGACATATATTGAATTGAATTGCAGTTTTACTTACAATGGTACAGTTCAATAGCTTCATATCAATAGTTATATTTACTTACATGTTTTTTTTACATACTTAAATAAAATAAAAAGGATACATTTAATAACATTAAAAAATTGTACCATTGAAATATTCTCAAGGAGATCTTTAAAAAAAGACCAATATTGAATATATATATATATATGAAAAAAAATTAATTGTTGTAATTTTTCTATTACATTGAACTATTGAACAACCATTGCCGATGCTCTTAACAATATAATGCATTAATTGCTGTATTTTTCTATTTTTTTATTGGCATGTGGGTCTCAAAATTAGTTTATAGAGGATTTATCATATGGCACCCTCTGTTGCAATTACATCTATTGCAGTGAACTAAATCACACAATTGCAAGTGAGATTTTACTGTTTTAGTTCAATTTCATGCAATTTGCATTGACCCTAACCATTGCATATGCTCTTATAGTAGTAGGAGTCTAAACTGGTATGGTTATAAATTTCTATCTTTTTTTATATTAAGTTTCATTATTAGTTTTATTTTTCTTTGAAATAATTAGATAGGAAATGGAATTTGGTCCATAGTTTCCCCTTACGCTTAGGGTTTAGAAGATTTACTTCCTAGTTGTGTCGTCAACAATTCCTTCTACAATTAGGACTTTCGTACTTTCCTTTTTTCTTACACATGTAAACGCAATATAAACCTCATTACAGAGAAGAATGCAATACAGAAAATTCTCCAAATATACCACCAAACCAATTGAAATTGTGTTTTAGCTCAGCCATCTAAAAGAATATTTTATTTTGATAATGGGAAGCGCTTGGAGGCTTTTGTTTTCTTTGCTTTGCATTCAAATCCTTGTAGCGAGTGTGGTTGCAAGGAATATAGTGAGTGTGCGGCATGACGAGGAGGGAAAGAACTTAGCTTTTGGGAAGGGAGGGGGATTTGGCGGTGAAGGTGGTGGTTTTGGAGGCGTCGATGGTAGTGGTCTTGGGAGTGGTCTTGGTGGTGGCATTGTTAAAAGTGGCGGGGTAAGCGGTGGTGGAGCTGGTGGTGGCTTTGGAAAAGGACGACGCATTCTCAAGGGGGGTGGGGGTGGGGGTCGTGGTGGAGGAAGAGCTGGTGGTGGCAAGCATGGTGGATTCCATGGTGGTGTACATGGTGGAGCTGGGGGTAGAGTTCACAGCGGTGCTGGTGGTGGATTTGGAAAAGTTGCACTACAACAGACAGTGTTATTAATGGCATTATACTGCACTTTTACCATATTCCTATAAAAGATAAGCAGCGGTTCAGCACAGGCTGACCAAAACAATTGCTATAAGAAGAAACAAAAGCACTGTGCGCGGGCGTTACAAATTGATTCTTATTATTAGTTTTTTTATCAACCTCAATTGATTCTTTATGCAACAATACTCATAGTAAGATCTTTTTTATTTTTTAGGGTGCAATTGTAACCATGTTCGAACATACGAGAATTCTCGTTTCAATTTTAATACCAAAGTCACCAAAAGAAATACAAATTTGAAAACTGATCAAAAGGATAATATTTCTGCTAGATTTCCTTCATTAATTTTGAGTGTTTAGAGGAGAAAGAAAAAACTAGAGTGAGTGAGTGAGACCTTTTGCATATATATGTATTTGTCTGCTGCACACAGTAGAATTTAAGATGACACCAAACCAATTGAAATTTGGTCCAAGTTTCCTTTATGCTGAGAGAAAATTTGCCTTCCAATGTTTTATCTTACTAGTACTTGGCATATGCTTTAGTCATATTTAGCTGCCTAAGCTAGAATGTGTGTATTATTGTTATTGTTATATTATGCCCTCATTCAAGTGTAATTTGTCTCAAATTTACGTATTTTTATAAGAGACAAGTGTACAATATTTTTTTTTGTTGAGAAAAAACGATAATAATTATTGATAAGACAGAACAAAGTACAAAACAACCATAATGTCGAATATGTGTACAATATCTTCTCCTAGTTGAAAAAGGACTTGGGGGTATCAGAGAGAGCTTTTTTGGGTTTCGACTACCTACTGGTTTATGGAATAACTATTTTGCAAGTGTCAATAAAACGGGGTAATTGAATTTGAGCTCAATTCCAATATTATGAGTGGTGCCTATTCTCACCTGTAATTTTTATTTTCCAACCCGCTATAATTTTTTTGTGTTATAAATATCTTGTTTATGCATACCATATTGAAGTCACGTTCTAATCTGGTTGGGTGTTTGGCAGACATAATGAGGCCAATAACCACTCCAATGAAACTCCATTGAGGCCAATTCAAGTAGGAAGATATACATACGAAAAACAAAAGAAACTCATCATGTCTGGCTCATTCTAGGGTTTAGGGCTTTCAAGTGATGTGTCCATGGTGGCAGAGATTAGTGCATTAGGGTTAGACGAGCTGGGAAAAATGGGGTATTATTAGAATAATAGTGGATGGGATGAGTAGTTTGATATTTTCAGTTTCCCTTTTTCCCCTTTCCTTATAATGTTGTAGTGATAACACCATAGCACAAGACCTATCTATTTTTGTATGAGCTCGTTTGGGAGTGATTCTAGATAGGCCTAAAAGCATTTCTATGGAGAATCACTTCTCCAAATAATCACTTTAAGTGGTTTTAAGTGATTTTATGGAGAAACACCAATCATTTAAAGTGATTATATGGATAAGCAAACGAGCCCTATATATCATATAATGATCATTAAGTGTACGCCATGGAAGATGTTTTCTGAACTTTTCCAACATATATGCTTCCCTTCTAGATTATAAGTATTTTAGAAAGACTTATTTACTATAGTGCTCCCTAAAACTATAATCAAATCTCATTTTACCCCTTTGAAAGTTAAAGTGATCCAAAGTGCCATCTTGACCAAGGTTTGGTGTTTCACTTTGTCCCCCCACCGTTAACTATATTAAAAATTATGTTAAAAATAATGAGGTGGCATGAATGAGACCTACTTTCTTGTTGAAATCTATGCCATGTAAGTGCCACGTGTGAGAAAAAAAATTACTTCTCTCTCCCTCTTTCTTTCTCTATATCGGACCCCTTCCCCCACCAACCCTCTTGGGACAACCACCACTCCCCCACCCCACCCCACCCAAACAACCGCCCACCCACAACAAAGCCCAACCCTTGTCCCTCTCTCTCTCTCTCTCTCTCTACCTTTGTCTATCTATCTCTCTGTGTGTCTCTTTGGGTCTAGTGAGAAAAAAATTTCATATGATGCAGAACATTCTTTTGTGGATATAATGATATTCATTACAAAACACGATAATATAATGATATTCATTGCTTTTATGGTGAGAATTGAGAAATAAAAAAGTAGAGGCTGAGAAATTTTGGGAGGGGATGATGGGGGTAGTCTGATTTGGGGGGAAGGGGGGGGGGGGGGGGGGGGGGTGTGTGTGTGGGAGAGGTGTTAGGATAGGGGTGTGTGTGTTGAGAATTTTTAGGAGGGAGCAGAACAGAAGGGGTGGTGAGGAGAAGGGTGAGTGGGGCAAGGGGCCGATGGGTTTGAGAAGAATGGAGCGAGAGAGAGAGAGATATATATATATATGTTTTAAAAATATTTTATTTTCAATTATAAAAATTATTGTTTATTATTATTTTACAGACATGGAGCTTTTGTGGTACATATTTTAGCAAAAGGGAGGGTCCCATTCGTGCCATGTTAATACTTTTAACAGAATATTTAACAGAGGTAATGGTTGGGGGCAAAGTGAACCACCAAACCTTGGTCAAAGGGGTACTTTGTATAACTTTAGCTTTTAAGAGGTAAAGTGAGATTTGACCAAAGTTTCAGGGGCACTACAGTAAATAAGTCGTTTAGAAATGAAATATATGCTTTGGAAATGACCTTTCCTCCACATTCCTCACATAAAATGAGAGCCTAATTGTGCAAGTGGTGGCTATTGGGGGACTCATAAGAAATTTAGAGAAAAACTTGGGTAGTGACTTCCCTTACCACATGACAATAATTGGCAGATCCATTGAGGGACGAGAGTGCAGACACTTGCCCTCACTCTATGTGGGATCAACCGATAAAATTGCCTAGTTGGTTTGTTATTTTCTTGGAGCATAAACGGAGGCAAAGCCTGCAAGATGTTCGACAAAATGCCCCAAATAAGAGGCTGAGACAAAGAAAAACCTAACATATACATCCATTGATTTTTTTTATAAAGATAATGGGTTTTTTTTTAGTACAAGAAATAGTCTAAATTACAGGGAATGAGGATTTCTCACACACACACACACACACACACACACACACACAATTATGATGTCATGGGGGTTCGAACATAAGACCTCTAGTTTGCAAGTCAAGGCTTCTTTTCACTAGGCTAGACCCTGTTGGCATGAATTCACCATTGATGATAAATATGAATATTGAATCATAACATAACATGTTTTAAAATTTTTTTTATTTATGATTCAAATTGTGTAACACCTATTATGTTTTGCTATGTAATATGAACACTCCATCAGGCTAAAGTGTTAGGGTGTCGGACACACAGACACGCGAACATGCCTCAAACACGACTTCGACACGGGTCAACAGTCAAGACACGTTTTGGACACAGTCAACTGAAGTCAAGACACGACATGGACCATTTTGAAAATTATAAAACAAAAACTAGGATCAAAACATAATTATTGAAACTATGTGAACATATTTAAAATATTTTTAAAAAGTGGGCTAAAAATGTAAACAATATATATTTTTAATTTTTTCTTTGTTCCTTCATAGCAGAGCTGATATTTTTGGTTGACTTCTATTGATAGCAATTTGTTCATGAGAGAAGCATCTTTTTGAGTGAGTAATTCATTCACTTTGTTTCTTTTTTTATTTATTTATGCAAACTCGATTCTTATTTTATGAAGTGAGAAATCGTTTTTCTTATTTTGAAGATGATAGATCATATATGAAAAATGTGTGAAATTTGGTTTATGATGAATCATGAATATGTTTATCATTCTTTATTTTATTTAGAGAAAGATGATTAATGCAAAGTTAACTCGAATGAGTATGAATCTGTTTTATGGTATTATGACATTGAAGTATTGGGTATGAAATTTCTTTAAAAATATATATAAGTATATAATTTTATAATTTTATTAGAATTTATTATTATTTTAATTGCCGTGTTCTAGCCGTGTCCATGTCATAATTTTTTGAAATTTTTCGTGTTGCCGTGTCTTGTTTATGTGTTCCCATAACTGTGTCTGTGCAACATAAATGTTTTGAATGAACAATACATGTCACTCGTACCTACACAAGTTTTTTTTCATTAATTATGTGAGAGAGTTCAAAAAATTGTTTGGAATAAAGTTGGGTTCTATAGGGGGTGGTTGACAGAGATGAGGGAAGATATAAGACCATATGCATTGTTAAAAAATCACCTAAGTTGAATTAGTTAAAAACAAAAACAATAGAAAAAAACTTCAATCTAAAGTACAAGAAATTCTTACCCAAAAAAAAAAATAGAGTCATCGTTTCAATCATCTAAAGGCTCTGACCCAACCCAAAAAAAAAGAAAAAAACAAGAAGAAAGAAGAAGAAAATCACCTAAAAGGGTTAAACAAAGGGAAAAATAGAAGCTACCCAATAGTACATGCAAGTGGGCAAAATGCTTGACAGACAGAGAGGGAAATTACCTTGCTGGGGCCGGCAGTTGACCAAATATAAAGTGGAATGGGGTTCATTTTCAAAGTGGGCCTGGGGGCATTTACTTTCGAGTAGCCTGGCATTTCTTAAATTTAATTTAATAATGAATTATATTATTATTATTATTATTATTTTAAATTAGCAGGATGTAATTATACGTTTTGAAGTGATTTACAGGTGCCCAAAATCTTCCCTCTGTTCACACCTTTGAATGAAGACTCAGGGGGTTAGATTTCATAATTTAATGCAACAAACTCTGAGCTCCAGAACTGTTAGGAATACATCAAGCAACACATACAAAGCAATATACAAGACTTTCCTGAGAAAAAGAATAAAAAAGGGGGAAAAAAGGGTTATTTTTGCTTTGGATTCTTGGGTAACAGGAGAAGTCCAACTGACCTTTCCTTGGATGAATTGGAGAGAGATGGATGGGGAAGTTGATGGTTTGTGGGCTCAGTCAATGCTTTTTGCCAACCAAAAGGTACTTTCTTGGAAGGTGTTTTGATCTCAGCGGTTTTTATGCTTTGATGGGGTTTTCTCTTACTTCAACTTTATGTTCCAAAATCATTGTGTTTTCTCTGACTGTGGTGTTGGGCGTGCTGAATTGAAACTGGGTTTTAAGTATTTCTGCATTTTAAATCTTCCTTTGTTTTTTCATCTTTAATGAGCTGGTGGGGTGATTAGTGTTTGCAATTGGTGATTGTTGGAGTCTATGAAGTGGGTTTCCAGAATACTTTGTGAATTTTCCATTTGAGTGGAAAGCTTGGAATTTTGTTTTCTGGGAATCAGAATTTTTGAGTAAACCATCTGTTTATAGTGTCAATGGTTGTGTTTCTGATCATGATCTAAGAATGTATGACCTACTAGGGCTGCTCTGTCATGTATGTTCTTTGAAGAGCTCTGCTTTTCTCATTTCTTTCAATTTTTGTTGTTGGTGCTAATTTGGAAACAGCTCAATTGGAATGATCCGGTATGAGAACTAAAAAGTGGATGAATAAGAGAAGATTCAGTATTAAAGGGAGGTTGCATAAGATGCTCAAGTGTATGCGTTCAGGGGAGCAATTAAGGGTAGATGAAATTGCTCATTCATCTGACTCCCTGGCAACTCGGGACTATTCAGCTAGTGGTGGCTACTCCGGTCGAGCAGGTGAGATTGAAACAAAGGTGGATAATAGCAATATTGAAGAAGCTGAGTCTTCTTTGCGTGAGAGTGGTTATCTCAACTATGAGGTTGGTTGCAAATAAGTTTTGCATAGCTCTTACTTTCTTGTTGGCTTTTGTTTTACTCCCTTGTATGTAAACCATTATTGAATAAGTTGAACAACTTTATGTCTTGAAAGAATCTGAATATCTTCATCACATGCTCGGAGTGGGTAGCAATTCATATTGTGGGACTGTTTCTTTGAGTTTATCCTTCTAATGGTTAATTTACGGTTATTAGCTGTTTTACTATATACTATATAACTCAAATGAGTTCCTTATTTAGAATCATCTTCAGCGAAATTAGATATCCGGAAATACAGTAAATAATTCAAGTACATAATTCCAATTTTGACAAAATCCTGAGTGCCATTGCTTGACATTTAGATGAAATTGGAAGTTTGCTTAAAAAAATTCCAAAGACGGTATGATAGATTTGTTATAGTCCATGAATATGCACTGCAAGCTCCACCTGTGATGAAATGTTTTTGAAGGGATTACACAGATGACATCAATTGTGAAGGCATGGTTGATGTTTGTGATAAATCAATGGCTTTAGTGATGCAGTGGTTTACTAGTTATTTTGTAATTTCTTTTTTTCTTTTCTGAGAACCAGGACCTTGAATGGTAGGACTTTTTGAAGCAGTGACTTATTGACTTTCACTGATTTCAAAAATCACTAGTTTTGGATGATTATTATCATGGGGCACTCCACAGTGACACTGATCAAGGTTAAATAATTAGGCCAATTTTTCTCTTGATAGGAGTCAACACTTTTCTATAATAGGAGATTCTTAGGATTACCCAAAATTACTTCATATCTGATCATCTGCATTGTTACAGTTATATGCTACTGTGGTTTGCTTGAATCTTCCATATTCAGATAATTATTAAAGCTGAGAGATTTGTGTATTTTATAGGAAGCAAGAGCTCTATTAGGAAGGCTTGAGTATCAAAAAGGTAACACAGAAGCTGCTCTTCATGTATTTGAAGGAATAGACATTGCTGCTGTGATTCCCAAGATGAAAGTCTCCATTTCTAGAAGATGCGAGCCCAACAGACGTCGATCTCAAAGTGATGCTGTCCCACCCATGTCTATGCATGCTGTTAGTTTACTCCTTGAAGCTATTTTTCTTAAAGCAAAGTCATTACAGGGTCTTGGACGGTTTGGAGGTATTCCTTCCATCTCCTGTTCGCTTTCCAATTCCTGGCTGTCTTATATATATTCATACTTTTGTGACTTTCTCGCGTCTTGTCTGGGATGTATTCATCTCATGAGCTTTGAATGAACCAGGGAACATCCTTTTGCTTCTAGAATTATAGGTAGTTTATAAAGGATATAGCTATAGTCAATCACACAATTAGATTTCGAACCAAAACTGAAATTCTTACTTGTGTTTTGATACATTAACTTGCATAATTTGGTTGCTTCTGCTGAGCTTTATACATACAAGTTTAAGAACTTTGAAGATTATTGAGAAAGTACATTTTCATAATAATTTCTGCAGGGCTAATTTTACTTGCTGACCCATTTTGCAGAAGCTGCTCAATCATGCAAACTTATTTTGGATACTGTGGAATCTGCATTACCAGAAGGCTTGCCTGAAAACTTTGCTTCTGATTGTAAATTGCAAGAGACTGTAGGCAAAGCGGTTGAGTTACTTCCAGAGTTGTGGATACTTGCTGGGGCTCCCCAGGAGGCTATCTTATCATACCGGCAGGCTCTCCTCTATCATTGGAATCTTGACATTGAAGTTACTTCAAAGATAGAAAAAGAATTTGCAGTTTTTCTTCTGTACAGTGGTTGTGATGCAAACCCTCCAAATCTACGTTCACAGATGGAAAGCTCCTTTGTGCCAAGAAACAATATAGAAGAGGCTGTTCTGCTGTTGTTGATTCTACTAAGGAAATTTGTTGCTGGAAGGATTGAATGGGACCCATCAATCCTTGATCATCTTTCTTTTGCCTTGTCCATTTCAGGGAAAATAAGGGCCCTAGCCCATCAGATTGAAGAATTGATTCCTGGAATTATGGGAAGACAAGAAAGATATTGCACCCTAGCACTCTGTTACTATGGGGAAGGTGATGACTTGGTTGCTTTGAATCTTTTAAGGAATGTTTTAAATAATCGAGAGAACACGGACTGCATTCTGGAATTATTACTGGCTTCTAAGATTTGCAGTGAGAATTTGGTTTGCATTGATGATGGGACCAAATATGCATACAAAGCACTTGGACGGTTGGATGGAAAATGCAGTCAAATGTTAAGTATTGCAAATTGCTTACTGGGTGTTTCCCTGTCGGTTAAATCCAGATCAGTCGCTTCTGATTCTGAAAGGATTTTGAAGCAGTCTGAAGCGTTACAAGCACTACAAACTGCTGAGAAAATTATGAGAGAGAGGAGTCCATATGTTGTATTTCATCTTTGTCTAGAACACGCTGACCAAAGGAAGTTAGATTTTGCACTTTATTATGCAAAGCAGCTATTAAAGCTTGAAGCTGGGTCCAGTACAAAAGCATATACTCTTTTGGCACGAATATTGTCAGCTCAAAAACGGTTCATTGATGCTGAGACTGTAATCAATGCTGCTCTAGATCAGACAGGGAAGTGGGATCAAGGAGAACTTCTGCGAACTAAAGCAAAACTCCATATTGCACAAGGCCAGCTGAAGAATGCCATAGAAACATATACCCATCTTCTGGCTGTTCTTCAAGTTCGGACTAAGAACTTAGGTGCTGAAAAGAGGCTTCTAAAGGTAATAGTAATTAATGGTGATACCTTTATTTTGAACCCCTGCATGTTTGATATCTTTGAAAATCTGCTTTGCTGGCAAATCTTTTATTACTGTTAGCCAAAATTTGCATTCTTCCAGTACTTTAGCTGACTATAAAATTCATGGTTAGGTTTACTATCAAATTTGGGTTTGATTTTACGCATTATTTGTTATTTGAGATGCATAAAATATGCTATAAAAAATAAACATTGAAGTGGAGGAGAGGGGTTTAGAGCTTAGCTTTGAGTCAGTACCCAATTAATGTTTACAGAAGACTGTTCCGAGGTAGCAAATTGTTGAATATTTACATTTTTATTTTTACATTGTACAGAGTAGGAGCAAGATTAATAGAAGCTTGGAAATGGAGACGTGGCATGATTTAGCTAATTTATACACAAGCTTGTCACAATGGCGTGATGCTGAGGTCTGTCTTTCAAAATCCCAGGCTATCAATCCTCATTCTGCTTCTAGATGGCATTCTACAGGTATATTGCTACTAATATATTTATGTAATACTGGTACTCTTTCCATCTTGGATGCTTATATTGATGCTTTTATTACTTCCTGATACTCATTGTCTCTGGTAGCAGAGAATCTCAGTTCTTGAAATATAATTTTAAAGTACAAAGTGAAATCGCCATAGGGTGTAACTTTCGGACCAAATTATTCAAATTTGAAGTGCTATCTCTCTTTCATCAGCCTTCACTTCTGGCTTCCAGTAATTGAGTGGCAACTGCTTCTTTCAGTACTTATACAAAACAGTTGCTTCAAATAATGAACTTGTATTTTGATCTTGATACTAAAAAACCTTGCATTAAAGTTTTCAAAGTCATTTCTCTTGAAGTCAGTTTGAATAAAAACTTTTTGCCATTTTTCTGATCCTCCCCACATTGAAAGGAAACCATAGTACATTAGATGTTGAAAGACCAAACATTTGTTCAAAACTAGGTAAGGACCTCTTGTTATGGGATTTAATACTTGGTTATTTTGCTAGGTTTACTCTATGAAGCTAAGGGTCTCCACCAAGAAGCTTTAGAATCATTCAGGAAGGCATTAGATGTTGAACCCACTCATGTCCCAAGCTTGATATCCACTGCCTGTATTCTCAGACAGTTTGGTGGGCAATCATTGCCAGTAGTCAGAAGCTTTCTCATGGATGCACTACGACTTGACAGAGGAAATCCTTCTGCTTGGTACAATCTCGGGCTGCTCTACAAAGCCGATGCAGGGGCATCAGCACTGGAAACTGCTGAGTGCTTTGAGGCGGCAGCTTTCCTTGAAGAACATGCACCAATTGAATCCTTCCGATGACCATCTATACTTCTGAACCTTCTAAACTATGTATGATTCTACTGCACCTTCTAAACTATGTATGATTCTTCTCCACCTTCGAAACCATGTATAATTCTTCTGCACCTTCTAAACTATGTATGATAGTCAATCAACCAGTGGTTTGTCAATTATACAAAAAGGTGAAAACATAGAATATGAAAAATTGTTGTACCCTCGTCTGTGTTGAATTTGCTTCACCTGAAATTATATTGAGTTCTAATATTGCTCTACCTTGCGACCTCCTATGTACAAGCTGTTTGTTTGGTGTTTTTGATTCTGGATTATCTAAAGCGCTTTTGTGATAATATTTCTTTGATGGACGCTATTTTCACCCTTGCCAAAGCTAGTAGGCAATAGGCATCATTTTTTTTATTGAAACTTTTCAGCTCTATGCGGGTGGGGTGGCTAATTATTTCTCCGATACAGAGTATAACCAGTAACCCAGTAACCTCAACACACACAGAACCACGAAACCTCGAGAAAGTGAAGCCTAACCATGATTTTTCTAAAACCATAGTCCTGAATTAGAAGCTTAACCATGATTTTCCTAAACGTTAATTCGAAGCTTAAGCGTGACATGTATTTGCTAACATCTTAATGAACAATCAAAAGGTGAAATGATATCATTTCGTGGCATGAAAAGCAGAAACATCTAATACGAAATTCATGTTTACTACCTTCACCTTGCTAGCAAGTTGTAATAAATGCATCCCCTTGCCGTATCTTGCAAATAGATCTGCAATAATGGACCAGAAGTAATAGCCATTAGATCATTAGAAAGTTTCAGATCTGATAGCTTTCATACCACTTTTGTGAGAAGTACAAGGCATGCTCTGCATGAATTTATGTGCACATATATCTTACGTGTCAATGAGCAACCATGACAAATGTTCAGCTTTTGATCATTTAAAGGGCTGTATCAATTATGTAAATGACAGCATTGTTTTTCAGACTTAGATTCATTTCATGATTTAAAGGGCTGGATCAATTATGTAAATTCAGCTTTAGATTCATGTTCATTATAACATTAAAGTAAATATCTTATGAAATATTGGAGGAAAGAATGACAGGAAAAACACAATACCAATCTTGGTTGGGTAGAATTTGATTTTAAAATTTTACTGAACTAGAGGCTCCTACAAGCCCGTGATCCAACCCGAACCTGCCAATTGAAAAGAAAAGAAGACACAAAGCTTGGCATGAAAAGCACAAGTTTTATTTGCGCTCTTTGTTTCAAACAGCACAGATAACTGGGCTCTATGTAGATGGCCACGCTGTAGCCATTTTAAAGTGATCGGTCTCTTCTATAGCAGTTTCCATTGATTGTAGAGCACAAATGTGTTGCTTCGTGGCAGATATTTAGAGCACGAATGAAGTATTTGTACTTTAATTTTGACAAATGATTGAAGTGTTAGATGGACTGATTTGACACTTGTGAGCTGAGCGGCTATACTTTTCAAATATTCTATTTAAAGAGTTTAGCCGCAAAGTTATACTCGTAAGGTTTGGAGGCTTGAGAATGGTTTGAGACTTGGATTTAGGGTTTGGTGGCTCAAATTAATTTTTGGAATACTAAAATAATTAAAATAATTTTAAGGTCCACAAAATTATCTTTAATAAGTAAATATAATTAATTAGTATTTATGAACTAATTTATGAAATTAATTAAAATATTACAATAATAATAATTCATTAAATAAAGAATAATTAATATAAGGCTAATATATTACTTAATTACAAATATTAAACTAAACAAACTAATTTTGAAAAAGCAGGTGTCAATAGAAGACATAAGCTTAGTGCACACGAACTGTACAAGCAGAGCCGTCTCAAGAATGTCAGGCTTGTATTCCAAGAAACAACATTACAGCTCGAACCTAAGGTTTTAACCATTTAGGGTTATTTAATTAATATAATTAGTAATTAGCTTTTAGTTATTATTTGTTTAGTGAATAATTAGTATTGAAATATTTTAATTAGTTTTATAAATTACTTAATAAATAGTAATTAATTATTTTGAATTATTTTGTGCACTTATTATTTATTTTGAATTAGTATGGAAATATTTTAATTGGTTTCAGAAAAGGCCAAAAGAAGAACTCAATTGTTAGTTGGCTTAAATGTCAAAATAGTTATTGTGTTTTATCGTGTTGGCCAATTTAGACCATGTGTTTTTAATTTGGCCAATTTAGTCTCTGTATTTAGCACCGTTAGCCAATGTCGTCCAATCCATCAATTTGATGTTAAAATTTTTTTAAAAACTAATATAATAATTGAATTGAATTTAAAAATAAATAAATAAGCACTAAACAAATAAAAATGAGATCCAAAAACAAAAACTAAAAATTAAAAAACAAGGCACCACCATCCAATCCCAGCTACCTCCCCATACTTGCCCATCCTAGCAGCCACCACCATCAAAATACTGTCACACACAAAATTGTGGATTCTCAATTTCCCTTCTTTGAATGAATTGTCAATCTTGGTTTGCTGTGGGGAAGGTTTTGAGCTAGCTGTTGATGCCAGTTCAAAATATGGGTGATGCAACTAGGATTCTGTTGCATAATTGGGTTTGGAAAGTCTTTGTTTATCTGAAATTGGAGCTGGTGATTGGGGTTTCGGTTGGCTTTGGAGAAGCTATAGAAAGTTGAAGAAATTACAGTTTATGAGCTGTGAAGGGATTGGTGAAGAGGTTCTTTTTCGTCCTTTGCTATGTTTTAATGAATAGTTTCAATATTTTAAAGTTAATTATTTTTAAAAAAAATTAAAAAGGTTTTCGGTTTTTAAAAGACAAAAAAAAGGTTTATAATGTAAATTTAATGAATTGGACCACATTGGATAACTATTCTAAACACAAGGACTAAATTGGCTAAATTGAAAACATAGGGATTAAATTGGCCAACACGGTAAAACACAGGGACCATTTTGATATTTAAGCCTTGTTAGTTTATTCAATTCGGCCATATTCGTATGTTCTTTTCGGTTTTTTTTTCTTTTCCGATTTTTAATGTTAAAGGAAATTATGGATTTTATCTCGCGTTTTAAAAATTAAAGACTAATTTGAAGCAATGGTACTTTAACTTATTAGCAAGTTACATTTAGTCCTTAGACTTATCATTTAGTTTGTATAGTCCTTGTTAACCGATCTAACTCAAAAGGAAATGGCCTTGATTTGCAGACTTGTGGTTTCATGTTCAAATTCTCATGGTATCATAGTAGTGTGTGAGGAATCCCTCTCCTCTTAGGTTAGACTATAGTTTGTACTCAAAAGTTTCTATATAGTCCTTCAAAATAGTAATTATTAAATACTTGAAATAAAATTCCTAATGTATCCCTAGTTACGATTAAATTGATAGAAATAAAGGACTAAATGTGAGAATATAATCAAGTTGAAGGACTTCGAGAATAATTGCTCTAAATAATTTCTAATTCACCGTAACAAAAACCCTAAATCCCCAACCTTTGCTTCATCTGCTTTTCTACGCTCCGCCTCCTTGCTTGCTCAAAGTTCTCACAGTCGCACACTTGACCAGAACAAAAAATGGTGAGCTCTCTCTAGTCCTCCTCCCTCGTCCATACGAAGTCGTTTGCCTTCTGTTAACTCGCTTTGTTTGTACGACCTCGTGCCGTTCTTCTTTAATCTCATTCTGCTTTGTTTCTTCTTGTTTTTGTTTGGATAGCCTTTCAAGAGATACGTCGAGATCGGGAGGGTGGCTCTCGTTAACTACGGCGAGGACTATGGGAAACTCGTCGTCATTGTCGACGTCCTTGACCAGAACCGAGTACCTTCTCTTTCCTTTTTTCTCTATCAAGTTTTCAATTTTTGTTAATTTTGTATTGCGTTCTGTTTGGCAACTGAGGGAATTGTAGGAAATAAATTTTGGGATTCATGCTTTACTGTTAAATTAGCACGTTGGCTAGTATTTTCTGAGCTACCAAGCTGAGATTTTTTCTTCATGAGCTGGGTTATTTTTTTGTATTTGTATTTTTGAAACTCCTACCAGTGGAAAGATTTACAACAAACTAAACGATTCCTTAAACATTAATGGTTTTCTTGTATTTGATTATGTGAATGTTGCAATTCAACTGAAAGCTTGATTTGATATTAAATAAAGGGGTTTAGAGTGAAATATGAATACTTGAGAGTTTGTTTTTCTTCCTTGTGTTGTATATGCCAACTTCTCTGATGTATCCTGCGATTTCTTTTGGTTTTCCGAAGCTGGTAATAACTATTTTTCTCATTAGAAGTATAATATGACTACCAGGGGCTTTTCTTGGTTCTCTATTTGCTGGGAAGTGGTTATTCTTGTCAGAATTTCATTTGCATTGATTAGAAGGGTTAAATCTTTTAGCAGCACATAACCCTCTTTACTAGGGCATTTCTTGGTTTGTAAGTGGGGAAATTTGGAGATATGAACTTTTCATTTAAGTCCAAATGTTAACATGATTTCCAATCCAACCTAAATCGATTGGGTTTGTCTAGTTTATTAATGATATGGTTGGTGTTGGTCTGGTAAATCACGACTGCAGAATTTTGGGTTGGTATTGTATTGGGCTTCAATCGGTTCCAACCCGACCTCTGCCCATCCCTAGTTGTATGTTCGGTTAACATGCTTCACATCTCCTTCAACATATTTGTAATGTTTAGTCTATTGTTAATTGTCCTCTGAAGGCTCTTGTTGATGCCCCTGATATGGTGAGATCCCAAATGAATTTCAAGAGACTTTCCCTAACTGACATCAAAATTGACATCAAAAGGGTCCCCAAGAAGAAGGAACTGCTTGCTGCCATGGAGGCTGCTGGTAAGCTCAATAACTCTTAAACATTGATGGTCTTGTTTTCATGTCATACTTTCCTATTCGATAATTGTATATATGTTGGTAGATGTGAAGAAGAAGTGGGAGAATAGCTCTTGGGGTAGGAAGCTGATTGTTCAGAAGAGAAGGGCAGCTCTTAATGACTTTGATCGATTCAAGCTCATGCTCGCTAAGATTAAGGTTGGTTATGCCATAAACAAATACTTATGTTTTAACTATGAGTTCCTTTATGCAAAAGTGTCCTATATTTCCTTTATTAGCCACTGTTTCGTATGAGTCTTATGGATGGATGTTTGCTATTAGTTTCTTTGTCTTTGTCATGTTGAACCCTCCGGAGCTAATTGGTTTTCCTTATTTGCAGAGAGCTGGGCTGGTGAGAACCGAGCTTGCAAAACTGAAGAAGGAGAGTGCATCTTAGGAAATATCATGATATTTAGTTTACAATTTTGTCATGGATTTTCTTTTGAAAGCTTTATGTTTGAATGTAATCCCTTTGTTTTTCTTCAATCAATTTTAGTTTTCAGATCATTGTTGTTTCTAGTATTGTTGACAAATGTTGGCGCATCTCTTGATTAATTCTGCCAGTCTGTTTTCACATATAGAATACCAGTTTCTTGTATGGATTTTTATGCTCTATTTTGGTGCACGCGTTGTATTATTCGTCATTCTGCACCCAGGAGGTGGCATAACACAAAAGAGTTGGTATATCAACAAATTGTGATCTGAGCTGAAATTAGATTGATTGTATGTGGTGCGGTTCACTACATAACAGTTGTGGTGCTGAGTTTGTTTAGTTCCTATACAATTTGGGAGCAAGATTAGTGATTTCAGTTCAATTTTCTGCAATAATCTGCGCAAAACAGATTTGGCATGAATTCTTTACCTTTGTTCTTGGCAAGGCAAATCGAATTCTGAAGACCAATATCTGCTTTCCACTAATCCTCTCTCACACCACTTAAGCCAACTCTAATTGCAAGGGGTTTGTAATTCAAGTGTTTAAAGCGTTTCGGTGTTTGTGCGTAAAATACAAAATAATTATAAAAAAAAAGTAATGCTACACTTATCACATTTCTATACTACATGATGTGGCATGTTTATATCATATGACATCAATTAAATAAATATGTCCCAATTAAATAAATATGACATATCAATTAAATGAATGAAGTGTATTTTAATAAATAAAATTAGAAAAACAGAAACTAGTATTTTACATGATGTGGTATGTACACATCAGCCGCCATATCATGTGGTATAAAATTGTGGTATAAAAAATGTGGTAAGACTAGTATTATTCATAAAAAATTGTGTTTTACAAACTCATAATAATGGCATAATCTCACTCTTTCCCAACCAAAATAGGAACGAAGTGGTTAATAACTTAATAATATCTCATCTCAATCTTTCTCAATTAAAATTGGAATGAAGTGGTTATATCTCACTCAATCTTTCCCAATCAAATTAACTTCATATATTATTCTTCTCTCCATAAACCCTTACAAGATTTTGAGTTCGTTATCACAGTCCGTACGAGAAGAAGCCTCTTCAGGTGACTGAAACGATCTCATCCTCTTTCTTTCAAAGTCCGTTTCTCAAAACATCCTTTGGGTTCAGGTTAATTATGGCCGACGTCCAAGGTCTCATCAATGACTTTGCCACCAAGCTCAGCAAACGGTGCGTTTTGAACTGTTTCTGCTACGTGTATCTTTCTATGCATGCATGTGCCGGCTCTGTATTGTGTTATGTGTTTTTTGTTTGGTTAGAGTTGTTTAATGTGGTGGCAGGAAGGTGGAGGGTTCGAGGGAGACTGCTCGGATGACGGCGGAGTTGCTTCGGTCGGTAATATCGCAACAGAAGATGACATCATCCACAAACCATGCCGCCGTTCTTATTGACGCCGTCAGAGGTGTTGGCCGGCGGCTTATTGATGCTAATCCTGTTGGTATGTTCTTTTAGAATTAGAAGTTTTACTTAGGAAAATTGATTAAATTACCATTTCTATTTTTAATTAATTAAGTTAAGAAAATACCCGAGGAACTGATAACGTTTGGGATGTGATTAGAACAGAAACTGTTTGTGTAATTGTTATAGTAGTAAATGTTACCAAACTTACAATTGCCAAGGTGTCTGTCTTGTTATCTACTTTGGCTGAAAAATTTGCAACTCATACTGAAAACCTAGGTTGCGGATATTTGTAATCTGTCAAAATATTCTCTTGTTAGATAGTCTGGCATGTTATGTTGTCAGACTGAACCATGGCCATTGAATAGGTGGATACATGTCCCAATGTGCGGTTCTGATTTATAATATAGTAACATAACACAACCGATATAGCTATAGCAAAAACATTACCCTTTTAATTGAAATTAAATATATTACATAAGCACTTGTCAGATTAGCTTTTAGAGTATCATCATCACAAGTTTTTAACTTTCAAGATCATAATCAAACATCATATGTAAATCTGCATACACAATGTATGACTAGTAATGACAGGACGTTCCACACGTCCCAAGATGGCCCTAAGTCTTGTTCAAGTACATGAGAGCTATGAATTTGTTATGTGATTATAATGACTATGTTTTGGCATGGTGGGATTGCAGAACTTGCTGTTGGGAACATTGTGAGGCGTGTTTTGTATATTATTAGAGAGGAGGAGCTTTCACTTCAAGCTGGAGAATTGACTTTATCCCCTCAAGGCAGTGATAGAGAAATTGATGAGGAAGATGATAAACTTTTCCTGTCGTCTGCTGCTACTTATCAAAGAATTCTGCACCCACCTTCATTGTCTACGCTGCTTGGGAGCAAACTCGACATGCCACCAGCTTGCCATCCTTCAGCTTCAAGGAATCATGATATTGAAGGAAAAGGCAAGTTTGAGGTATCCTTGTAGTTCATATCTAAGATCCCGTAACACTTTGTTATCAAAGAATATATCATTGCTTTTGTTATTATTTACCTGAGAGTACAATAAGCGTCCAATAAAAACAAATTTAGGCATTTAAGAAATGTATTTTTAAACTAAATTGCAGTTGTCCTTTACAGCTTATAAAAGTCCAAGCAGCTTGACATTGAAGCGCCATATCATGGAGGCAGTAAATGATCTCATTGAAGATATAAAAACTTGCCATGAGCAGATTGCAGATCAGGCAGTGGAGCTAATCCATCAGAAGTAATTTTTCTTTCACACTATGAACATATTTCTGCTACGGATTTTCTTCACATATTTAAACAATCTCCTGAAATTTTGTTTTCTCCTCATATCCATTTAATTTATGATATGTGCATTCTAGCTTCAAAAAAAATTTGATGTCATATTTTGTGAATACTCTGTTCTGATCCTCTGATCCATATCATTCCTTCTTGATTGAATCCATCCTTTGCAGTCATATTTATATGGTTATGGTCCCTCTGATTGTGAAGGATGATATTCAGGTGGATTATATCCCTATATATTCAGTTGAAAAGACTTTACATGCAAAAAATAAACAAGGTTGTTATATACTGTCGGTTTTACATCCATATTGAATTGGTTTGGGTGGAACATCATTATTAGTTTATTCCTGCCTTAAATATCTTAGCTCTGCTGCTCGGTAGCTCATATAACTTATGCATCTTAATTGGCATGCAACCTCCCTTGGTTGAGAAGAAATAATTAGCCAACTGAAGCTTGTAGACAGCCCAATGAACAAATATTATGAAGTGGAGATTTTTTTCCTCTTGATTAAATGCCTACTTGCACAGTGATCTATTGATAGACATGTTTCCTCAGATAGACAGTTGAACTTGTCGTATATGTGTTGCTTATGAATATTTACTGGCTTCATTACAACTGTAACTGTTTTTCAGAGAGGTGGTACTAACCTTAGGCCACTCAAGAACTGTGAAGAAGTTCCTATGTGCTGCGAAGGAGAAGAAACGATCGTTCCAGGTGGTCGTTGCTGAGGGTGCTCCAAAGTATCTACATGATTAGAACCTACTTGTTGATTAATTGATCTTTCGCTCTTTTTTTGTGGCTTGTTGCTTACTTGGTTTTGCGTAGGTATCTTGGACATGTTCTTGCAAAAGGGCTGGCTGCAAAAGGTTTACAAACTACAATGATTGCCGACTCTTCAGTGTTTGCCATGATTTCACGAGTAAACATGGTAATTTTTAACTTTGCTTACTCTTTTACATCTGTGCTAATGCTATGTAGAATCTAGCTGTACTTATCAAAAACTTCGCGTACAGGTTGTAGTTGGGGTTCATGCTGTGATGGCCAATGGTGGAGTCATAGCTCCTGTTGGCATGAACATGGTTGCACTTGCTGCAAGAAAGCATGCTGTTCCATTTGTCGTGGTTGCTGGCACTTATAAGGTATTGGCATGAAAAAACTTGTACAAGTTTACTGAACTTTTGCAAAAAAATTGAAGAATTTCAATACTAAAAGGGAAATAGCCTTATTGCAGTAATGCAGTATATATGTCAGACCGATCAATTAAGTATACGGATGCATTATTGCAGTAATGCTCTTCGTCTTTATTCACTTAACATTTAGCTGTTCATCATTTTTTTTTAAAATTGTAGAAGATCTCAAAACTCAATGTATATAAAGAACAAATTTAATCTTCTATGGATGTTCTGATGCTTATCAAGAAACTAAATAAAAAAAGAATGAATGTTGAATTAGATGCCACAGTCTATATCAACAATACTGTTAACTACCGATCTCATTAGAACTCCTTAGAACTTTACATTTTTATGGTAAGGAGTTTCTATCCTGTCATGCTGAAACTTTTAGACATGTATTGCTGATTTCTGGGCAGCAATTTATGGATGAAGACTGGAGATCAGTGCAAAGCTTCTGTTTTGCAATTTTAGGATTATAACTTTGGTGCTTAAGAACACATTCTACTGATCTTTTGTGTTTTCTTCCCCAATTAATTTATATTGTCTTGTTATTTCCTTGTTTATTTACAGTTGTGTCCTTTGTATCCAAATAATCCGGAGGTTTTGCTGAATGATATGAGATGCCCATCGGAACTCTTATCTTTTGGGGAATTCTCAGATTGCACGGATTTTAGTATCGGCAGCGGAGCTCCTCTTCTTCATGTTCTTAATCCTGCATTTGATTATGTGCCACCAGAACTAGTCAGTCTTTTTGTCACTGATACGTAAGACCATTCTTTTTCCTATCCTTTTGTGCAGAATTAATTTGAAGTTCCATTCGTATTCTACTATAGTGCAATTGCTATTTCATTCAAAACGTTCAATCTTAGCTTTCTGTTCAATATACAACCGCAGTTACTTTGCTTTAGGTAGTTGTCTTGCACGACTATGATGGGATGCCAAGCAAAAACAACTTGCACGACATCCCAAGCAATCATTCCCCTTTCGCTATAAACTGAAAATTATACTACTAAATTCAACTTTAAGTGCTTGCAAATCTTTCCTTTCATTTCTGTAACTGATGATTTTTTTTCATTTTCCTGAATTTCCTCTGCAGTGGGGGGCATACTCCATCATTCATCTATAGGCTCATTTCTGAATTTTACTCTGCTGATGATTTGGCTCTGCAACAAAAACTGCTTCCTGAAAGTGAACATTCTAATTCCATATAGAGGAGCTATTTTTTCTCTTTACAATGTAAGTCCTAGATACTATAGCTTCATTTTACTTTTTTACTTTTTCCGGCGTACTGATTATGTCTATCAGTGTGCCTGTAGAGACATTCAGATATCTCATGATTTTGGTATATTTATACGTATTACATTTAAAATCATGGTTATTAAATATCAAGACCAGGTACTCTTTCCCCCAAAGATGAAAAGTTTAGTTTGGATTAGTCAAACTTGCTTAGAAGACATTGAGGCATGATTTCCCCTAAAGATGAACAGTGTATTTTAGAATAGTCAAACTTGCGCTGATAAATTTGTTTCATTTTTCAAAGTCAAGATAAAGGGTCCAAATACCAACTTCCAATTAATTTGCTCTCCAGACCGCATTTGGAACCCCCTAAATTTTGTCCAAAGAAGCAGATAAGCTGCATCAGAAAAGCAGAACATAAAGACACAGAATGCTAGCAGGAAAATAAAAATAAAAAATCAACACAGCAAAGATATAAGAAAAGCATTTGCTTTGTTTACCGAGTTATAGGATAGCTCTCTACAACAGGAATGATAATTATTGTCTCAGTTTTTATCAGTGTTCCATGAACCAACCCTCTTGAAGAAATTTTTTACAGATATTATGCAACGGTAAGTTTGGTCTTACAAGCCTCTACCTGCCTGCTATAGTTTGATGTTGAATAATATCCGACTGCTTCCTCGTTTTGTTATGATTATTCTGGGAGGCGAGCTAGGTCAGAAAGTGATACAGTAGAAGGAAAAGGTAATTCAGAAACTTGGATTTTTTATTTTCTTCGATTTTCATCAAAATTAATACAGTGGAAGGATCAAAATCAAGCTGGCATGCTAATCCCAGCTTCAATTGGCCAAGCTTGGGGAGAAAGAATGCCCTCTTGTTGGCTTTGGACTGGTTGTAGGCCAAGAAAAGCATATAGAGTAGAAACTGATGCATTTTCTGGACAACGATGAATTAGTGAACGCATGTTTTAACACAAGCAATTTATTTGCAAAGATTAAATATATTAGTATTTGATAGCTCATCAGAACATGTGTAGGTATCTGACCGAAGAAAAAAGACCGGTACACGCACCACAAAATAAAAATAAAAAAATCAAAGAACACAACAATTTATCTTTAGTACTTTCCACTTCTTTAACCCAGCAGAGAGGTGGCATAGGCAAGAGCTTTCGTCACGCGAGTAATGGTCTTACAAGCCTCTACCTGCCTGCTAGCTAGTGTGTTTGACGTGACGAGTGCAACATACGGTGCAAAGCCTGGCTCTGATGTCAGTAATGCCTTGGCCAAGGCTTGGAGTGATGCATGTGCATCGCCATCGGCGAGTAAAGTTGTTGTTTCGAGTGGGACATACAAGTTAAAAGAAGCAACTTTCAGGGGCCCCTATAAGGCTCCTATTGAGATGCAAGTTCAAGGCACATTGCAGGCTCCAGCAGACGCTAGCCAACTCACAAGACCGGATACTTGGGTTGGTTTTTAGTACATTGACATGCTCACCTTATTAGGTGGTGGGATTTTGATGGCCAAGGAGCACTTGCTTGGAGTCAAAATGACTGCCACAAAAACAAAAATTGCAAACCTATTCCCGTTAATCTGCGGTTTGAATTCATCACCAATTCCAAAGTTTAGGACATAACTTCACTTAATAGCAAAAATTTCCACATGCATGTTTTCCGGTGCAACCATATTACGTTTCAACATCTTACCATCACAGAACCTAGCGAGAGCAGAAACACAGATGGAATCCATATCGGGGCTTCGACTAGTGTTTCTATTGGTGATGACTCCCACCAAATCACAGTGACTGATGTTACTTGTGGGCTAGGCCATGGAATAAGCATTGGAAGCCTTGGAAGATATAAGGAAGAAAAGGATGTGACCGGGATCATAGTTAAGAACTGCACCCTGACTAATACGCAGAATGGTGTGAGAATCAAAACATGGCCAGATTCTCCTTCGCCTAGCACTGCCTTAGATATGCACTTTGAGGATATTATCATGGTTAATGTCAATAACCCTATCCTCATAGACCAATTTTACTGCCCATATACTCGGTGTGACCAAAAGCCTCCGTCAAAAGTTAAGATCAGCAATGTCAGTTTCAAGAACATTAAGGGCTCATCTTTCACTCCACTTGCAGTCAAGCTTGTATGTACCAGGGGCATACCGTGTGAGAATGTGGAGTTGACTAACATTGATCTCACCTATGGTGGAAACCAAGGTGCTCTTACCTCTCTGTGTTCTAATGTCAAGCCCAGAATTACTGGCGTGATAAAGGCTCTTGTTTGTGCTACATCGTCCTTGACACCTCTTCCTTTATCCAAGAAGTAGACAGCACTAATTAATGTTCTCTATGCATAAATTACTGTGTTCTACGTTGCTTTTGTGCTACATGTTCTCTCCTTTGCATCAAGATAAATAAATACACAACACACTTTTCATCAATGCCAACAGGATTTAGAGCCCTCTTATAGCATTGTTGACTTGTTTGATCCCAATTTTCATCACTGAAAACTTCCCTTGTGAATTTGGCAGTAACACCGCATGATATTTCTCTGTCTTATTTGAAAATGACCAGATAAATTCAGAGTTTTTTTTTCTCATAATCTTTTTGGCATGCTGTTGATGGAAAAAAAAACAAAAAAGAAGAAGAAGCCATTCTTACATTTTTACTGTGGTTTGAAAATAAAATCGTGATTTTCTTCGCTGACACTATGATTTTTGGTGTAAATCAACCTCAACCAACATTCGACAGCAAAAAAATATGCAAGCCACTTTTTCAAGTTAGAAAATTTGAAAGGATGTTATATTTGTAGAAATATGCATGTCAATTTTGTCCCTACTCTTTATACAATATTTTAATATGGTTGAAGTTTAATTACTATTTTAATACTTATAAAAAGTTTCCATTTCAATCAACTCTAAAGCATAGGCAGACAGTTTCTATTTCTATTATCATCAATATACTAATGACAACAAAATGAGGTCCATACAATACAAGCATGCAATAAAGCTTTACACTGCGACAGGAGCACCAACCACAAACAAAGGGATGTGAGGACTTCCACTGACTATGCATGAACTGAACCACTAACGCAGAGTCACTCTCAAAGGGATGTCTCCTAACTCATAGTCATTCAACGCTTTCTCTGTCAGCTTTCTGTTCACATCACATATACAAGTACAATATTACCTTATACCAAGCAATATATTTAGTTTTCTGTTAGGTAGTTTTATTGCCTCTGCACAAATGGTACGACTGTACACGTTACGTATATCAACATACACTTGCACTTTCACTCAGGGATTTTTCCAGTTGCCCCATTACAGTCCTTCTCTTTAAGGAAGTGTCCCACTATGATGTGTGGGATGTCCAGTAATCATTCCCCCCTTCACTATTAAACTTAGGTGCTTCGCAAATTATTCCATTCACTTTGGCATCCTCTTAGTTCTTCTTGTGTCAAGTTGAATTTTGATGGGGTTGTTAGGGGTTTCTCGGGGGATGGAGTGATTTTTCGTGATTCTACTGGTTCGGTTTTGAGCTGTCCTAGGGGCTTCTCTTGGATAGGGATCTTCTCTTGAGGCTGAACTTTTGGCAGTTATGGCTGCTTCTTATTCTTAGGGTAATAGGTGGCATAGACTTTGGATAGAGTGTGATGGAGGAATCGACTTGATCAGTTGCGTACAATACACTTTCAGGTTTCTCATATTTTCTTGAAGGTATGTCTCAGATTTTTCATAATGACTTTCCTTGTTCTATCGAGTATCTATTAAAAACAAGTTCATTCTACTTGTGATGTCTTCAAGATTCTTTAATATATTAGTTCTCATTGTTCTTGACTTCTTCTCAAACTAGTTCAACTTCACTTTGCTTTATTTCTTAATTTAGCTGGTCAGTCAATTATTTTTACCGAATTCAGGTACCCTGTTCTTGTTAATTGACTACAAGGAAATGACTGCAATGTCTAATACTTTTTCATGCAACATTCATGCAATTTCTAAGTATTTAGCAAATAATCAAAAAGGCAGTCAGAAATTATTAGATATTAGACAACAAGTCTCGGATGAGTGAATGTAAAATGAAAAGTAGTCTGAGGAGTGCATGAAGATGATTGCAAAAGTAAAATTACAAAATTTCAATGGATATTCAACAAGATAAAAATGGAGTCACTAGTTTGAGCCGACTCTTAATGGCTTTCCCCAACAAGGTCACTGTCTTTTCATGCTGATCTTCTATCCTAACTCTATCAAGGTCTTGCAGGTCATAGGTTTGGTCCTCTACTCTGCCGAAACTCAAGAAATATTGAGTGATCTTGCTGCTAAATTCTCAGTGGACACTTTCAGTGATGAAAAACGTGATGGAAGAGGTAAAAAATGCTATAAGATAACTGGAGTGCTCTAAATCCTGTTGGCATTGATGCTTTTCAAGGAAATATTTGCAGCATAGTGCTGTTTTCCGGTGAACACCTGTGTTTTCTTGGTGACCCTTTTTTTTAGGCTAAACAGCTTACTAATTATAGTATAGAAGTTGAACTACAATGTATCTTCTTAAGGAAACCTATAAAAAGAGCTAGTGGTTGGTTGGATTTTTTGATGGTTTTGACCCTAGTCAGACTAAAAATTGGCCTCGAAGCAAAATGGAGCTTCATCATCCTTCCCAACAAAAAGAAAATAATCAAGTGAAAAATCAAGATGGCTCATAAATTGAATAGCATGGCAATGATTTTGTTCTTATTGTTAGCATCTACAGCTAAAGCTGAGCCAGGTGTCTTTGATGTTACAACTGCAACATATGGTGCAAAACCCGGGCCTGATATTACTCAGGCTTTGGCCAAGGCTTGGAATGATGCATGTGCATCGCCATCGGCGAGTATAGTTGTTGTTCCGAGTGGGACATACAAGTTAAGAGAAGCAAGTTTCAAAGGCCCTTGCAAGGCTCCCATTGAGATTCAAGTTCAAGGCATATTGCAAGCTCCCACAGATGGCAGCAAACTGACCAAAAAGGATACATGGGTTGGTTTTGAGCACATTAACATGCTAAGCTTATCAGGTGGTGGAACTTTTGACGGCCAAGGAGCACTTTCTTGGAGTAAAAATGACTGCAACAAAAACAAAAATTGCAAATCTAATGCTATTAATCTCAGGTTCAACTTCATCACCAATTCCACAGTTCAAGACATAACTTCACTTAACAGCAAAAATTTCCACATGAATGTTTTCGGGTGCAAAAATGTTACATTCCAACATGTTAACATCACAGCACCCGGAGAAAGTGTAAACACAGATGGAATCCATATCGGGCGTTCAACAGCGATCAACATTACTGATGCAAATATTGGAACTGGGGATGATTGTGTTTCTATTGGTCATGGCAGCAAGGAAATCACGGTGACCAAAGTTACTTGCGGACCAGGCCATGGCATAAGCATAGGAAGCCTTGGAAAGTATCTGAATGAAGAACCTGTTGTTGGGATCAGAGTTAACAACTGCACCCTGAGAAATACACAGAATGGCGTGAGAATCAAGACATGGCCTGCTTCTCCTTCAGCTAGTACCGCCTCCGATATACACTTTGAGGATATTATCATGATTAATGTTGGTAACCCTGTCCTCATAGACCAAAACTACTGCCCGTGGAATCAGTGTAAAAAAAACGTTCCATCGAGAGTTAAGATCAGCAATGTCAGCTTCATGAACATTAAGGGCTCATCTGCCACTCCACTTGCAGTCAAGATTGTATGTAGCAGTTGCATACCATGTGAGAATGTGGAATTGGCTGACATTGATCTCACCTACAGTGGAAAAAAAGGCCCTCTTACCTCTCGATGTTCTAATGTAAAGCCCACCATTACTCGCGTGACAAAAGCTCTCGCTTGTGCTACCACTGCTGGATTAAAGAAGTAGAAAGTACACTACAGACAAATTGTATTGTGTTCTTTGACTTTTTCTGCTACATGTACCGGATTTTTTTCGGTCAGATACCTGTACTTTATCTAAGAACTAGAAATACTAGTGTATTTTTTCTTTGCAAATAAATTTCTTGTACTTCCAAGATTAAAGCTAGTGAGTCCAAAACTGATAGAAGACCTAATTTGCCAGAGGGTTGCTTCATGGAAATTTTAAATGATATATATTATACATACACACACACATATGTGCTGAGGAGGACAGCAATACTACAAACACGTACGTTCTAGAGAGTGATTTGGTGATGAATATTCTTAAGGCTAAACTGTTAGTCAAATAAAGATAATTAATTACTATATTTACAGAATTTCGAAAATAAAACTTCATTATAAATTCGAAATAAATACAAGAAACTAACGGCAAGGAAAATTAAGAATACTTTACAGATGATTGAGTCTAGAACTTGCTTCCATCTCCTTAAGAAGAAATTGCCTCATCACAGGTACTTTTAGGATTTGCTTGGCAAACATTTCCCAAGATACAACGATCGACTTCTTGTTTAAGTAGCACTCCAATCCCCAAGAAAAGCTAACTCAAACTTGTATATGAACTCTCTCTTACTAACTCACTATATTTTTTAAAATACAATGCTATGAATGCTCCAAAAACTACTATTGTAGAATGAAAATTGGATTAATCAGAAGTCTGGGATTGCTCTCTATTTATAGACAGTTATGCATCTGTTCAGGAAAGATGCGACTGAAAATTTACACATTGTAGTGTGTTTTCAGGCGAGAACCAGTGTAACTTTGTCATGTTTGGGCAGACACTACTTTTGGCTGTCAGTCTTGATACACGCGGATACACCATTTGCACAACAGATACATTAGCACGTTGACCAGACCACAGTAATGGCAACGTTTAGCACTTCTTTGCAATTTTGAATTGCAACCTTTCATAAAACATTATTTTATTAGTGACTTTTCATAGAAAGTCTCATCCCATCAACCGTAAATGTTGATAATAAAATATTAATTTTATTTTGTGTAACTTAAATAGTCACACATAGGGCCAATGGTCATATACCAAAAATCCGATGATCATGTACCATATTGAAAAGTCACTGGTCTCACAACTTAATATAATTTTCATTCACATTATTATAATATTAAATATTTACAATTTAATTATCTAATAATTCCCCACACTATGAGGATATTATATGGTTAATGTCAATAACTCTATCCTCATAGACTAAAAGCACTGCCCGTATACTCAGTGTGACCAAAAGCCTCGTTGAAAGTTGAGATCAGCAATGTCAGCTTCAAGAACATTAAGGGCTCAACTTTCACTCCAATTGCAGTGAGGCTTGTATGTTGCAGTGGCGTACCGTGTGAGAATGTGGAGTTGGCTGACATTGATCTCACCTATATTGGAGACAAAGGCCCCCTTAGCTCCCTGTGTTCTAATGTCAAGCCCACAATTATTGGCATGATAAGTTCCGTTTCTTGTGATACATCGTCATTGATCTCACCTATATTGGAGAAAGTAGTAATTATTGTTGTACTAGCGGAAGGACAAATAGACCACGTCTTCATTCTTACGCCATAAAGATGTATTTGAGAGACGAGCACATAATAATATTATTTCAGAATTTATTATGTGTATTTAAGCATGTGCCACCTGTTTAAGAATACACAAGTCCTACATCGAATACTTAACAAAATATATGAGTTCAACATCAGTTAAATATCCGATGTGGGCCATGTATTGATCTCAGTCTTTTTGTTACTGATATGTAAGGCCTTTCCTTTCATTTCATTCAACTCTGAAGACGGACTGTTTCTGTCTCCATTATCATCAATAATACTAAAGACGTCAAAATGAAGCTAATACAAGTACGCAGTAAAGCTTTACACTGCGACAGGAGCACAAACAATAAACAAGGGACGTGAGGACTTCCACTGACTATGCATGAACTGAACCACTAACGCGGAGTCACTCTCAATGCCTGTATACAAACCACTCACGCAGTTTCACTAACGCATGCAGATTCATTCTACGCTTTCGCTATCAGCTTTCTGTTCACATATATACAAGCACAATATTACTTTCTACCAAGCAAGATATTTATTGGTTTTGCAGAAATAGTACGACTGTATGCGTTTCTGTTGGTATTTTAGGGTGTTTCGCTCTGATACCATTTTTGGGTTTAAGGGTGAAGGGGTTTTAGGATAGAACATAGCTTTGTGTACATATGGCTAGATTGCTAGCTTATTATTAGCTTAGTTTCCTAGCTTTCTAGCTTGATCATTACATTGAGCTCTCAGCACTTATTTGTATATAGAGAGAGTTTGTCGACATTGCCTATCCACCAACTTTAAAGGGTGCTTTTCACTCCAGCCACATATTTTATTCTCTAGACTTTTCTAGTAGATAGGATATTTTAGTCTTTTATAATAATTATGCCATGCAGCCTTGAGCTCGCCGACTTTGCATAGTCGGTGAAGTCTTCTTGAATCTCTAGATTTTTCTTGAATTATCAAGCATAAGAGCATTATATTCAACAGTTCCATCCATATATATATATATATATCAACATACACTTGTACATCCACTCTGGGATTTTTTTCAGTTGCCCCATTACAGTCCTTCACACAAAGGAAGTGTCCCACTAGATGTGCGGGATATCCAGTAAAAAGAAATTTGCATGATATATAATCCCAATAAATCATTTCCCCTTTCACACTATTAAATTTAGGTGCTTTGGAAATTATTCCCTTCACTTTGGCATCCTCCTAGTTCTTCTTGGGTCAAGTTGAATCCTGACGGGGATGTTAGGTTTCTCGGGGTGTGCTGGTTATTCTGAGGGATTTTTCAAGATTCTACTATAGTTCGGTTTTGAGCTGTCCTGCGGCTTCTCTTGGATAGGGATCTGCTCTTGAGGCTGAACTTTTGGATAGATATCCACTAGAACAAAATATGTTGTCGTATAAGTGAGCGCCGTCTCTTGCAAGGCATCATACGACAATTTTTCACCGTCATATGTTAACAATTCAGACGATGGTTCTAGTGTAAAAACTGTCTTCTATGTGAGTTTAAATGGACCGAAACATGCTATTTTCGTTGTCTGGATAAACTTGAGAAGACAAATTCAGTTATTTTCTGTCGATGACAGTTTTGAGTCTTATTAATAGAGGTGGACCCCATTGTGATGGTAAGATGTTGAAATGTAGTATGGTTGCACCGGAAAACATGTATGTGGAAATTTTTGCTGTTTAAGTGAAGTTATGTCCTGAACTTTGGAATTGGTGAGGAATTCGAAGCGCAGATTAACGGGAATAGGTTGCAATTTTTGTTTTTGTGGCAGTCATTTTGACTCCAAGCAAGTGCTCCTTGGCCATCAAAAGTCCCACCACCTGATAAGGTGAGCATGTCAATGTACTGAAAGTCAACCCAAGTATCCGGTCTTGTGAGTTGGCTAGCATCTGCTGGAGCATGCAATGTGCCTTGAACTTGCATCTCAATAGGAGCCTTACAGGAGCCTCTGAAAGTTGCTTCTTTTAACTTGTATGTCCCGCTCGGAACAACAACTTTACTCGCCGATGGCAATGCACATGCATCACTCCAAGCCTTGGCCAAGGCCTTACTGACATTAGAGCCAGGCTTTGCACCGTATGTTGCACTCGTCACGTCAAACACACTAGCATGAGCTTTAGATGTAGATGCTAACAATAAGAACAAATGCATTGCCAATAAACTTAATTTCAGAGCCATCTTGATTTTCCTTCCACTTTGTTATTTTGTTCTATGTATTTTTTTTTATTTGGAAGGATGATGCAACTCAGTTTTGAGTTGAGGCCAATTTATAGTCCGATTGGGAAGGCTCAACACCATCAAACTATCCAATCAATCACTAACTATTTTTATACGAAGTTGCATTCTAGTTCAGCTTGCTGTTTAGCCTTAAGAATATTCATCACCAAATCTCTATCTAGAACGTGCTAAGCTGTTTGTGTCCTCCTCAACATCCCGCAATTTATGTATATTCCAGAAAAGAAGGACCAAATTGTATATGACTTGTTAAACACTTCTATTATTTACTTCTACGTGTTTAATTATATTATAAAAAACAACATGCCCCAATATATATTTTCCAAATTGAATGACTTATTAGCATTGCTGTCCTCAAAATACCCGAATATATATTCACTCATAATTTTGCAGAAAAAGAGGACCAAAATCAACAGGAAAAGAGCATGCCTAGATTGGCCCATTTGTTCATTTTCACCATTATCACTAACCATATGACTCATTTTCACTAACCATTTGATTAATTTTTTTCCAGAACTAATCATTTCATTATTGGTCAACCATTATATTTAGTTCTGCCGAAATAGTTAGAAATTTGATGAAGGTTGCATGAAAAAAAATTGCTAATAGACATTCCCTTGCAATCAACTAACAAATTTAGGCTGCCTAAACTCATTGAAAGAAATGGACCAGCCAAATTGAGTAATAAAACAAAGTGAACCGACTTCAACTTCCTTTCATAATATTTTAGGAAATCTGGGTTGAAACGAAAAGACATTCCTGCATTTTGCTGTGATCTGAAAATGGAAATGGAGAAGTTCACTCTTTCGCTAGACCATGATGTTTGATGTAAAACAACCTCTACCGTATTTTGACAAAATATGCACACCAGTATACATGTTAAGTAAATAAAAAGGGCCTGCACAAAAGATGTCTTTGTCACCCAAGGAAAAGAATAAACCAACTGTATTTGCATAGAAGAGCATACCACATTTTCATGCTCTGTTATGCAAATTGAGTATGCACATAAAGATGTAATCTAGGGGAATAACTTCCCTATTCCAGGCACGTCAAGAGAGAGAGAGAGAGAGAGAGAGAGAGAGAGATGGATAGAGAGAGAGGTATTGCACCCACGAGAGGGGAGTCCCTCTCCTAATCTAGAGACTAGAGCAAAACAATGCCCTTTACCAAGAAAAATGGTGAAGTGATCATTTGCAGAACGTTGGTTTTCTCTTACAATTTCCATATCTCAGGCTCTGGTTTATCATTGAAAGCAAGGCACAAATGTAAGAGGGCATTGCCAGTAGAAAAACATTCCTTGTGCTTTAAGCAAATAAAAGTCATAGACTCAATCTACCAAACATACATAAGAGAACAACAAAGACTTGTAGACCGCAGGAAGGAAAACTAAAACTGAATATTGAACAAGATATTGGGGTAAAATAGGAACAAAATACAGTGATCACGTCTTTCAACAGAATAAGCGGGGGGAAACAACACAACCCCGAGTATCATAACTTGCGAAGATCTATCCCGGCCTTCTTGGCAACGGCATCAATTCCATTTTTCTCTATGGTTTTCAATGCTTTAGTTGACAAACGCAGTTTAAGAAAGCGCTTTCCAGCTTCCCACCAAACCCTCTTGTATTGTAGGTTCACAAACTGCAACTTTTTGGTCTTGTGAGCCGAGAAGGAAATCTTGTTTGCCCTATTTGATTTCTTCCCAGTGAAAGGACAAATTCTACCTGAAGAAATTAACCAATTCACAAGGTAAATCAATTTCCACCATTCTAACAATTAGTTGTAATGACCCATTTGACCATGAGAACAATCAAGAAACTTCTCAACTAAATTATCAATCAAGAAACCCCATTTATGGGACAATCCATTCAACTTGATTCCAATACCAGACTAAAATTACTGTCCCCCACTACTATATAGAGGAAATGCAATTGAACCCATATTCCCACTCCCCAAAATAAAGAAAGGAAACAATTGTTTCAGCTTCTTCTTTTTTGTGTGGAGAAGATTGAGGTTCATTTTTACTAGCATATCACATTGTCAACATGTAAAACAATTTTCTACAATTTTCTATGAAGCTTCTACCTTTAACTATAAACAGCAAGCTTCCAATTCTAAAAATTCATTTTGACGTCTCTCAGCACTCAAAAAACATCAAAGTGGACAACCTTAAGTTATCTAATTAAGAACATGAAAAATGACTACCAAAATTCCTAAAAAAAAAGTGTTCCTTGAAGAAAAATAAAAACAGAGAAAATATGGGAAATTGAAGGTTAGAGAAATTACGGGCAACAATGGGCTGAAAGGTAGGTGGGGAAGAGGTGGAGATGGACTTGGGCAGCTGAGACGACATGTCGTAGGAGATTTTGATGCCACCCAGCTGACTGGTAACGAACCCGATATCCGAAACTGCTTCGGCCCTAAAAGGCTGCAGCAATCTCTTGGAAGACTCCGCTTTGCGAAAGCATAGACTTCGGGTGTTGGCGAAAACCACTCCAGCTGTTGCCGATGCTGCCATTGATGCTCCTCAGTCTTCACCCTTCTTGATTATCTTTCTTCTTATCTTCTTTTTCTGAAAAAAGGAATGTATCGGATTGAAGCCTCTGGTTTTGAAAGGCCATTGCCTATGGCGTGCGCCGTGTGTGTGATGGGCTTAACGCCGGCACTGGGCCTTGAATCTCTTTTGAGTGGGCTCAACCCTGAGACTTTAAAAAATATATTCAGATAACCTTGACGATGGGAAAGAAATTTATTAAATATGAAAAATATACCATAACATTACTTAATACATAAAATGTTTCATATTTGATAAGGGGCTTATAGTTGAAGTGATTAAGTTCATTTACTCATGTATCCTAGATTCTAGGTTCGATTCCCCCTCTTCATTATCGCTTTGTATAATATATAAAATTATATATATATATATATATATGTCACATATAGATGTGAGCAATCAACAGTTTAGAAGTCATAAATTTGAAGGTTTAAGAGACTGAGCGAGAGCGAGACTGCGAACGAGTGTAGGTGTAAGTAGGTGTAAGGGGATGAGGGGAAAAGATGATGCAAACCTGTATCTTAGAATAATTAAAATGGTTATTTGAGTAAAACAAATAGTATGAGTGAGGTTAGTCTATATGTCTATATGTGTCGTTGGACTAATCTAAGGGTCTTTATTAAAAAGGTCCTCCCATGTTCTCATTTTTAGGGTGAGCGAGCGGGACTGCAGTGTCACAATTGCATGATATTTTGAGGAGAGATTTTTGATATTATTGATTTCACATCCATAAAATCTAATATTGATATGAAGTCTTTTATTTCTTTGTTGTTTTGGCATAAATCCTTAAGGCCTTTGCTTTCTACTTGTGTCAATTGTTATAAATTTGGCCATGGAAGTTGGAAACCCCAATTTTGGTTTTCACATTTCTCGAAGGTAGGGTTAAGTGAAGAGGAATGAAATATAGACTAAAGGATTATTAGCAGATAGGAAGGTAAGTTGTATAGTTAGCCAAATCCTCTCCATAATCATCCTCATTACTGTAAGGCTTTAACAAAGGGCATCGTACCCGTTTCACATTTCATTTCATACTCTGGAACGAAGCTCCGGTTAGATTAAACATCAAACTGAATCTTTTTAATAAGATTTCAGCATCCTCAACCTGGTCAAACTCTAATAAAATGCCCATACATGTCATGGCCAAAGCTCAAAGATAACATATTAACAGGGCTGGAAAATGTTGACTACGGAGACACCAGCATAGTGCGATCATGAAGCCTGCCTAAATGGGTAACATGTCATTACAACACGAGCATTGTCAATAGCAATCAAACATACTCAATTTTGAAATGAGCCCTGTAATGATCAAGTGAAATGTACTCCACTGTCACAATCCGATCCTCAAAAACCCGTCCGTGTAAACAATGTGCTGCCATTAAAGAGGCTTCTATTCTTCCAAACTCCACAAAAACACACCCTGGCTCAAATATGCTTCCAAGATCATAATCATGCTCCTTCCCATGATTCTGTTCCTTAATTTCAATCTTCTCATTAGCATCCGACTCTGTTCCCAAACTAAAGTCCTTTCCAGCAAAACTTCTGAGTTTCTCACCATCAGCTTCCTCTTGAGTTGATCCCTCTTCTTCAGCCATTAATTTGTTTTCCAAACTTAAGTCATTTATTTCAATAGCTTCAGTAGCCTTATCATCATAGCATTCGGAAGCATCTTTCATGCTGTTCAGTTGGTTGTGGAGTTGCTCCGGAACCCTGTTAGATGGGTTCTCGCTTCCTTTGATTTCGATATCTTCACCAAATTGACCCATTTTACATGATTTTTCCTCCATAAAATCATCTGTAGGCTCATCATCTAAAGCAGTTACACTAAAGCAGTTACCTTTGGTAACTTCATCTTCTTTAACTTCTTTGGCATTGCTAGGAAACTCCACGAACTTATTATCAATATGTTCTTCCAAAGTATCTGTTTTTGCTCCCTTTTGTTCGGACTCTAAGATGTTCTGGTACCCCCCAGATTCTGCATCATTGACAGCTTCAAATACCCCCGTGGTGACGTAATTGTTGCAATGCTTGACAACTTTTACAGATTTGACAGCTCCAAACCTGCATAATTGAAGGGCTTTAAGATTTACTCAAGTATAATTTATAAAGAAAACAAAAACAAAAACTGAAAATGAAATTCTCTGGGACCTGGCACACTCTAATCGCACATCTTCCAGAACTTCTTCTACCTCTGGTTCAGATAGCAGTGAAATGTGCTCTAGATTTAACTAGTTCACATTGAGGAAAAAAAGATTAGGAAAAATAATAATAAACTGATCCATATAAACCGTACTTCTTACTAACTGTCGATTTTCCTAAATAAATTAAACATAAAATCAAGCATGACAGCATACCACGTTTCTGAGCTTTAGGACCTGCGAAGGTTGTTTGAGAAGTGGCTTTGCATATTCTGGGATCTCATGTAATGACACATTTCCATTTTCCTACAATATGTCGATTCTTCCATCAGTACACATCTCCAAGTAAAATAACAAACGCGGTCAAGCAATCAAATATCGAAAGTTGTTTGAAAAGGGAAGAGGGTGGTCTTCGTACCAAGGATGATGCATCATGAATTGCTCGAACTGCAGTTAGCACTCTTCCACCCAATTTCATACCATTCAGACCTGCACACGCTTTGAGAGTAACCGACTGGTCTACATACTGATGCAGCATCCAGATGTCATTAGGAAAACAGGGGTGAGGGGGAATTGATTTATGAATAGGAAAAAGAGTGCAATATACAGCTCTAAATCAACAGTGGTAAACACTAAAACGCATGCTTCTCTTCCAAATAAATGTATAAGAACAACAGTATTTCAAACAAAGGCAGATAAAACTGATGCTGTTACCAAAAATTAACACATAACGTTTACAAAGAATATGCTAGAAACAAAAACTAACTTGAGCCATAAATGTGCTTTATTACCTCCAGAAAAGCACATGGTTCATTAAGTTCCTCATTGACCTCAAAATGGTATGCCTTCAAAGGTCCAAAGACACTAATGATCTCCATAAGCTGGAAAAGCAGCATAAAAGGCCTAGTCACTAAAGTTGATGGATGAACATAGGAAAAGAAAATGAAAAGAGGAGATGAATTTTTGGTGGGAAAAGAGAACTATTTGCATCATAAACGTCGTGTCATATTACCATTTTTGATGAAAGAGACTTTGAAATTCCACCAATGAAAATCTGCATAAATAAGGGGAAAATGAAAAAAGAAAAATTAATGAATTTCCAGATAACAACAAAGGCAAGTAGCATATCACAACATTGAGATGTAGTGTGGAATCAAAGAACAAGATAACATCAATCTTCATAAACTACGAAGCTTTCATATATTAGTAGAACCTAGATGCTAGACATCACAAGAAAAAGGGTCTATGATGTCTCTGGAGCAAAATTGATGCAACAATACGAGTCTACACATAGGTCTTTTCATGGATACTTAAATAGCCTCTGGGTACGCACTAGAGACTCTTCAGCCTCTGAGAGAGAGAGGTAGAAAAACGTTGTCTTGATGCCATATTGTGTCATTATCTTCACAAATATATTTGATTTCACTAATAAGGAGTTATATCCAAATATATTTATAAGTGCCGTAGATTATTTCCAAGGAATGGCATAAGATGGTTACCAAAACTAGGGACAGAAAAAAGATTTCTGTCATCCGTTAGGTATTTACAAGTACCTATCAGGTTCCCCATGCAGTTATAAACTTAAGATAATTGCCCTGTATTAGAAAACAGAAGTTTGCAATTTTGCAGTCATCTTTAAGGATAAAAAGCAACTTTGCAATATTGCAAGATTAATCAACAAGAATATAAGGATCATGAACCATAAAGGTGATGCACAAGGATTGAGTCCTTTTCGCTACCTTAAAATTTTATGTTTACTAAAACATTACAGGAAGCAAAAAGCTTTCACTATTGAGAAAATCAGGTGGAGGATAAATAACATCAAAAGACCCTGATCTCTTAAAAGTAGCATGCAACAGATGAACTACTTAAGCTTAGTTAGAATCCCAGTCTATCAATGATGTAGAGAATAAAGCAAGGACAAATCTATAAGAACAAAGCCTGGATGATGATGTGACCCACTAACAAAACTAGTTCTCCACTACCCTGAATTCGTGAGGAAGTGCATGCACAGTGGTCTTAAACTAATTGTAGCAGAAATTACATGTACAATTACTATATGTTGCATCACCAGCTTACCTTGTTGGGTGAATCCTTCACAACATCACTAATTGTCTCAACCACAGCCATTGATTTATCTGGGTCACCAGTCTGCATGAAAATAGCAACTGTCTGAAAACCTGCTCCATGGATAGTAAGCACAACATACCTCAGAATTTGCAAAGCAGTAATAGAAAGTAGTTTAACCAAATAAAGTTAAGCTTGCAGCATAGAAGAGTATAACCAGATTGTACTAAAAGTAAGAATTAATGAAATCAAAGCTTTTTCACTTATGTCTTTTTATTTAAAGCACTTATTATCCAAAAGAAAACATACATAAATAAGTTTCATTGTAATTAATTTGTTTATCATATTTGGATTTTAATTGGATTGGATCCACCCAAATCCAGAAAATATCATTTATGACAATCTCAATTCAGATTCAAATTCGAAAAAGTGGAATGATAAGCAAAACTCAATACAGTCTTTTATCTTTGACCCATTAATTCATTCCGAGTAGGAAACCATGTAATTATAATTGAAAGAAGGAAACTGTGCTAGGTCCGATTCTGAAATCTGTCCTCTATCCTAGGCTCTCAGCTTTCTTGACACAGAGTCAATACAAAGAGATCATCAATTTTTTTTCCAAGAATACCAATAAGCATTAACAGATAGCATATGTCATTAAGGTTAATAATTTAACGGGAAGCTAATTTCAATAAATTGTTAATGTAAAAATAAAATAAAATAATTAAACTATAGAACCTTCTGACTTTCAAGGAAATTGCT